GGTCCAGATGTTCTGTAAATGACCCGTTCTTTCGGTTCTCTCGCTCCAGATGTTCTGTAAATGACCCGTTCTCTCGGTTCTCTTGGTCCAGATGTTCTGTAAATGACCCGTTCTTTCAGTTCTCTCGGTCCAGATGTTCTGTAAATGACCCGTTCTCTCGGTCCAGATGTTCTGTAAATGACCCGTTCTTTCGGTTCTCCTGTCCTGTGGAAGGTGTTCGACTAGCTGTAGGTGCTCGTGGCTGTTTGCAGCAGAACTCGTAGGTGTTTAAAGGTTTCTGTATGTTCTGTGCTCCTCGCACATCTGGACTCGTCCGTGGACTCTGGACCGGGCCGCTGCTCTGCAGCTGTTGTCTCACGGTTCCGGTCGTGGAGAACTTGTTTCACGTTCTGGAGCATGTTTTGTTTTTTCATAATAAACCTGATGAGACTCGGATCTGACGCCAGATGTTGTGAAGAACGTGGATGTTCTGGAGAGCGACGTGAAGCGAGAACGTTCGGGTCAGTCGGGTTCTTCACAGCGTCTCCGGTTGGTTCTGTTTACGTGTTCAAACTTCAAATTCAAACCAGGAGAAACGCTGTCCAACATCTGGAGAGCAGAGACTCCTGAAATACCTGGTCTCCAGTTCTGAAGCCGGTCCGATCTGGTCCGGTCCAGCCTGGTCTGGTCCGGTCCGGTCTGGATGTGAGCTCCTCCTTGAGTCAAGGCTGAAACAAAGATGGCGTCTTCACTTTGGGGTGGCTCAGTTGGTAGAGCTGCCGCCTCAGCGAGCTGGTCACCGGTTCAAATCCCGGCCGGGGGCTTTTCTGGGTGGAGTTTGCATGTTCTGTCCGTGCATGCGTGACCAAAAACATGCATGTTAGGCTGATTGGTAACTCTAAATTGACTCTGGGAGAGAGAGAGTGAATGGTTGTTTGTCTCTGTGATGGACTGGAGACATGTCCAGGTGTCCCCTCTCACACTGACTGCTGGATATGGACACCAGTGACCCCCGCGATCCAGAAAGGAAGAAGTGGGTACAGATGATGGATGGAGGATGGATGGAGGATGGATGGAGGATGGATGGATGGATGGATGGATGGATATTAGATTTGAAGAACTAAAATCGAAACATTTAAACATAAATATTCTACAATAAACCAGTAACTTTGTTTTGCTTCCTCTGGTTTCATGTCTGCGCTTCTTGGATGTTCGTGGGTCCGTTTCTTTTAAACCGGTGGTCCAACTCCGGGCCGGACCCGTGTGGGTTCTGTGCGTGAATTTGTCCGTCCCACCGGGTGTTTGAGTCTGGGACCAAAGTAGATTTATTTCCTCGCTGCTCAAGAATCTGTATAAATTGTTTTTTTAATAAACGTGTCCTTTCAGCTCTGACTTCTTCCAGAAACACCTTCTAGAAAACGACTCCTTCAGTCTGACGGCTTCAGAATCTAGACGGATTAAAAACATAATCCAGACCGTGGATTCTGCTCAGATGTTCACAGATTATTCCAGCACGGATTCAAACACTTTGTAGACGTTCCTTTTTCTGAAGGAGCTGAACTCAAAGGTCTGAATCTTTGTTCCTGTGTTGCTGAGCACCTCCACGTCACAGGTGAGGCACCTCAAGGTAAAACTGTTGATAAATGGTTTAATTTGGAGTTAGGATGAGAGATGTTTGCAGATTTGATCAGATGAGGTCATTTATCAACGCTGCCAGCCAGGAATTGAGATGTTTTATCAAGTTGCATCGTCGTCACCGGAGCTCAGTCTCTTCTGGATGGAAGTAGAGACGAGAGTTGCTGGTCGGGCCTCCAAAGCTCCCACAGGAAACGGGTCACAGCTCGGGGGGTCCGTGTAGGATCGGGTCAGACATTCGTCCAGGGTGACGGAGGAGGGGCGTGAGGAAGGCAGCTGATGGAGAGTCGGCGGGTGATAAGCAGTCAAAGCTGTGAAGACTTGCAGTGGAAAATCTAATTACTGCGTCTGCTTTAAAAAAAATGTTCCTGAGCAAAACTCTTTGATCTTTTCTCAGGATTAACGATGGACAACATGAAGACAACTTGTTTCAGCTCCAAGGACGGAGACTTCCGTCTGATCTGGTGGTTCAGGATCTGGTCTGTCGCCCAGAACTCCACAGAGTTCACCAAACTCTGAAAACCAAGCAGACACAACATGTGACCATCTCACACGTTTCACAATGATAACTGCAAATAACTGGTTTTAAACGCAGTATAACCAAATAAAACAACTTCATTCAGGAACGGGTTTTTCTTTTATCGAAAGCTTAAAGAAACGTGTAAGACTTGATCAAACTGAGTGAACAAGTGTTTTAGGACAACGAATGTATAAAACATCACTTTATTCAGGTCCAGTAACTTTAAAGGAAACCAGTTCAGGGGCTTCAGAAGAGATGACCTAAAGTCCACCAACAAAATGAACTCCACTAAATAAGTGAGCTTGTAACACTATATATAATTTAAATTCTATTTATTCAGGGTGTGATTTGAGTCGTATTCAACAGTAGATGTAGTTTGATTTTCTGTGCAAACATCCGGATTATTTATTTTAATTAAACGGTGTTTTTGCTTCTCTGTTGTCTTCACATGTGATCCTCCATGACTAATGTTAGTGTCAGTTTGTCAAAGTAAATGTTTTGAGTTCATTTTTTCTCACAGAAAGGAGCAACGTTTCGTTGCAGTTCCGCTCCTGACCGCAAGGTGTCGCTGCAGTTCAGTTACTAAAGGCTTTCCCACAATGCAGCGCTTCTGGAGGGTCGGTTTATGCTAAGATTTAAGGTTTATATAAAACATATAAAGAGGTAATTGAGCAAAACTTATTAGGGTAAAGTTCTGCTAATAGAGACAGAGGACATCGCAGATTAACGTTTTGATCCCATCAGTCAGAATGCTAAACTGAGGCTACAAAGAGTCTCCGCGCCATTTTGATCACCGATTCTTCCGGTTCAAGAGCATGATGATCGGTGCGTTCACGGACTCTCCGTGACAGGTGCGACCTCTAACTTGTTACGACCTGCGCCTCAGCCCTTCTGATCCTGAACCGGGACACTCGTGATTCAACGAGTTTTTAAACTGTGATAAAGTAACAATTAAATCCAAGAGAGAATTTCTTCTATACGTATTGGTAATTTCATAGATGTCATAAAATCATAAAAATAAAAAAACGAAACTTCCTATTATTCAACTATGTGTTAGGTAAAGTTATAATTTTCATACATATTGTGCATATTTGTTTTAAAAAATGTAAAATATATGCCAAGTTAGACATAAGAAAAGTTAATAAAATGCACTTTATCATACTTTAATTCGTCCTTTATTAAAGTCATATTTATTAGTACTTTGCTTTTTGTTTCAGTAAGAGAAACAAATATGAAAGTTTTGTCTCAGTGGGAGGAAATAAAGTCTCGCGATATTTCACGTCAATGACCTCTGACCCCGTGCGAGATTTCCATCTAAACAGATGGCGTCTTCCTGAGCGCCCATGTGACTTCACAGCCCTGAAAGCTCGTTTATAGTTAATTTAACTTATTAATTATAATCTGTTAAAACCAGCGCAGTGTGTCGGGAAGCTTTAAGAAGAAATAAAAAAATGCAGCACGACGACGTGAGTGACAAACCAACTGCGAACATGCTAACATGCTCTTAGCCTTCATGCTAACGTTAGCTCACCGGTGTCCGTTTTAAACGCAGCTAACTCAATTATTTTATTGATGATAAATCCATTAAGTGATCAGTAGTTGTAGTTTGTGATACAAAAAATGATTTACGCTTAGTTTATACTATTTTTTTTAACTCTGCTTGGCTTTAAGTTAGATTCAGAGTTCTCGTCAGAGCTAGCACCAGATTCCAGTGTAAAACTGCTCAAAACAGTTTAATATATTGTGTTAACTTCGTAAGTTACAGATAAAACCTAAGACGAGACTCAGACTGTTAGAAACATGCGTGGACTTCATTTCGGGATAAAAAGAAACCTCCCTCAATAATTTAGCAACGTTTAAATGTGGAAACAATGCGGCGTGAAAGCTGGATTTATTAAAATTAGCTTGTGTTATGTTCTCCCTGTGGGATTATAACCCTGACATTCCTTCAGGAATATGCTTTTCCTCACAGAAAGTGTCACACACACCTGTGTCTACCTGTGTGGATGTTGATCTTGTGTGATCTGCTTCCTGCAGGTGATCTGGGACATTGTTGGAAACAAACAGTTCTGCTCCTTTAAAGTCAAGTAAGTTTGAATCTAAGCTTCAGTTATTTTGTCTGTTTTACTAAATTTCCTGAAGAACTTTGATAATGACTTCAAGGATTAGATACTTAAATATGAAGTATTATCAAGAACAGTCTGTTTCTTTCTCTTTTACTTCATATTCTCTGAACATGGTTAGATATCGATTATAGATTACATTTAATACAAAAGTTTTTTTTTTTTATCACTTATCAAATATTATTAAATCTTCATATTTTTGTTGTGACGTCAAAGCAGAAATAAAAACTTGCAGTGTTACACATGAATAGATTTATTATTGGAGGTTTAAAATCTGTTGCTGTTTTAACAACTGTTTTTAACTTTGCCATTTGCACCTTTAAACATTTATACATTTAATTTCAGAACATCTGTTGTTGTTCTCTTTAGAATCACTCCGTAAGATAAAAACTAATTCTGACCCTGATTTAAAAACATTATTTGGTCTCTGCGTTCTTAACAATTTAACAAGCCATGATCGATCTTTGTGTTCTTGTCAGACGGCTGCCGGCGAGGTTTAGTGAAACTTCGGTCGTTAAAACAAGTGAACCGTGTTTGGTGTGAACCTAAACTGGGTCTGTGTCTGTTCAGGACCAAGAGTCAGAACTTTTGCCGGAACGAGTACAACGTCACGGGGTTGTGTAACCGGTCGGCGTGCCCTCTGGCCAACAGTCAGTACGCCACCATCAGGGAGGAGAGAGGTGAGGCGGCGGCGGCGGCGCGGTGAGCCCAGCGGAGCGGAGCTGCTCAGTAACGTCTCTTCTGTTTCAGGGCAGTGTTTCCTCTACATGAAGGTGATCGAGAGAGCAGCTTTTCCTGCCAAGATGTGGGAGAAGGTCAGACCGATGCCGTTTACTCTGATTTATTTAGAAAACTGTTCAGTGAAGACGATTAAAACCACTGAAGCTCCTGAGAGCGTTCACACGCCGGGCATTTAGGATTTCACCTGAGCTCCGTGAAACAACAAAACTTCAATAAATCAGAACACAAGTTTAACAAACGATTAGTTTTAACACACACGTTTGATAAAAAAAAGTCATTTGGTGGTTTTAATAAACGACAGCTCATCCAGGATCTCTTTGATTTATAATATACATTATATACTCTGCCTGGCCCCAAAACAAGTCTCCACCTGGAAGTAACTAATGAAACGGTCCGAGCCTCCTGGATCATCACTGCACGGACGATCATGTTTCAGCTGCAACAAGTTCTTTAAACTCCAACTGGTTCAATGAGCTGCTTCTCATTTCTTCAACAACATGATGAAAGACTCACGGTGGTCGTGGAGAAGATGTCCGTCTGTTTGAGAAGGGTCGAATCATCGGCATCAAGCAGAGGAAACATCTCAGGAGATTGTAGAAACTAAAACTGGGTGAAGAACTGTCCAACACATTATTAAAAACTGGAAGGACAGTGGGACCCATCGTCTTCCAGGAAGAAATGTGGCCGTAAATAAATCCTGATGATCGTGATCATTGATCATTTTAACGTTTGGTGAAGTCAAATGGAAGAAGAACACCAGCAGCACTCAGGGCTGTGGTTCATAGAGACAGTAAGAACATTTCCACACACACAATGTGAAGGAACTCAAGAACATGTGTAGTTTAAGAAAACCACTAACCAGTGAGGCTAACTGGAGGGAGCATAAAGATCGGACTGTGGAGCAATGGAAGAAGGTCATGTGGTCTGATGAGTCCAGATCGACCCTGTTCCAGAGTGATGGTGCATCAGGATCAGAAGAGAGGCAGGAGAAGTGATGCACCATCAGGACCAGTGTCTCGTCATCAATGAAAGATGTTGGTGAAACATTAAAGCAACTGGATGAAACAGATCTTGTGACGTTGAAGAAGTTTATTGAAACATTGACACAGAGAATGATGTGATCAAAGATAAAGGAGGTCCAACCAAATATTAGTGTG